CTTTTCCCACTCTGAGCCCCCTCACCAGCAGGCTGGGTCTTCACAACACACTGCAGGGGAGCTAGTAGTGATCAGGAGATGGAGAAACCACCCTGTTGAGAGGAGGGTGACTTGGCTCTGATATCTGAACAGTTTGCTCCTGACAGCCAGTGTGCAAGTATCGTGAAATCCCAGTGTGGTCTTAAGTCCTTTCAATAAGATGAGGAGGCATCAACACATATGCTAAACCAGTCAAGCCCTTCCAAGTGTGCTTCTCTACAACTGATGGGGGTTCTCCAGAGAGTGGAGCCAGGGCTTTTCTTTGGGCCGGGAAAAGCTGTCTGAGCCATCCTCATCCACAATGGCCCAGAGCAGAGAGGTGGCTACAGGCTGTGTTGTAATGCTCTGGGTCAGGCAAAGATCAGACTCCATTAGCTATGTCTCCTCTGGCACCATGCTTGTCATAAGGACCTCGTGGTTATTGTGCTACAGAGATCTGCTCTGCCCTCAGGAAGGGCAGGAGATCCTCCTGATGATGTCCTGCCCACCCTTCTGCAGCTTGTGGCAGTGGGGCTGTGTCCTGAATCCCTGCTGGATGTTGGTGAAGAGAAGGCAGGTTTCAAAGAGCAGTCTGAAAGCTAAAAACTTGGATTTTGTTCTACACCAACATGAAAACCTCGGAAGATTACAAATCTTCTGTGAAGCCTAATTTTAAAAGAAATTTTTGATTGGGCAGGACTGACTCACAATCCCAGTTGCCTCTGTAACAGTAATGGCATGTAGAACAAAAAAGCCTCGCACAAGCATTCATTTTGAAAGGCAAAGCACACATTTTAATGTCTGAACTTCCCTCACTGAAACTCCAGGACAACTGACCCACCAGGGCAGAGCCATCTTGTTTCAAGGGCATGGCATTTTTTGTTAAGATGTTTGGTTTACTCTTTCCTCACCGGCTCTGCTCATTTACAGCCAGACAAGGTCAGAGAACTGATAGAGGGAGACCGACAGGGTCTCCCATTTTCCTGTACCATCAGAAGCAGGAGGGAAAAGGAGTGTCCTGCTTGGGCTGAGCCTGTGCTGTGTCAGTGGGGGGGTGTGTGCGTCTGTGCATCCCTCTCTACAAAATACTGATTTTATTGGAAAGACACACTGTTGATGTGCTACCAGATACAAGAATGCAATCATTGGATGAGAAGGTACGAAGAAAATGAGATTTCAGAGAAAGAAAAATGAATGTGAGACTATCAGCAAGGCAGAGGTGAGGTGCTGCACAGAGGTGAGACGTGAGGCTCTTGATACCAATTGCTTGGAGGAGAGGGAGCAGGGAGGATGGTATCTAGCTGCCTCTCGCTGCCACATGCTGTAGGACACACTCCAGCAGCTGGGCTGGGAGTAGCCCTTTTCTTGGCTACGAAGGGCATGAGGCCATACAGCTCCCCTGTGAGCTACTGACCCAAATCATCAATTTGTGCGTATGTCCTAGAGTGGGTTTGGACAAAGACTCAAAGAGGGTATCACAGGAGTGAAATGAAAGCTCAGAGTTGAGGCTAGTTTTACCTTCCTAAAACACATCAGGTCCTGACCTTGGCATCATCATCCAGCTTAGTCTGAGACCTTGAAACAGCTACTTCCTTTCTCCCATTTTTTTGTCTGCTTTCCGTGATAGCCCCTGTTCCAAGTTGTTAATGTCTGTATCCTGCTGTAGGACTCCTTCGACTCTTCTCCAAGGATCGCAAAGTCAGCCAGAGTTTCCATGTCTGCCATTAATGTGAAAGATTTCACAACACACATCTGCCAAACAACCACCAGGCTTCTCCTTTGTACTGTTAAAATTCAAGTGTAGGCAAAAGTTTTTTATTGGCTTAATACAGTCTTCCTACAGGAATGTGTGAGGTGCAGATGTGGCAGCACATGAACACACTACTAAAGCTCTAAAGACATCAGGAAAACACAGACAGGAAGTGAGACAAACCCCTGCATCTTCTCTGTTCAACAGGAAAGAGCACTGAAATGCCATCCAAGTTTCTTTTCTTCTTTAAACCTCATCTCATGTTGCCTGAAGTTCAACACTTAAAGCAGACAGCAAGTCAGAGGGATGGGTTTTTCATGTTTTTATTTACTAACGTTTTTATTGTGTGTTTTATATTGCAAACCCCACCCCTACAACTCTTCCCTCCCTTCCCCCCAAAATAAAACAAAAAATAACAATAATAATAAATATAGTTCCACCTACTGAGACAAGCCTAGTGTTGACTGGGGTCCAGTCAGAATAACTCAATATTGGCTAAAGCACTGCTAAGAACTGGAAAATCAAACAATATCCCCGTGAAAAACAAAAGCAAAGGAACCCAACCGAAGAAGGATGTTCACCAGACTGGTGGATGGAACACACGTCTACCAGAGACAGCCCTCAGGGTGTTTCTATGCACCTCCGTTTGTCTGAGTGTCCACAGGGGTTGTTGAGATTCAAGTACCAATGCAGCAGTCACAGGACAGTCATCCATGAGGGCTTGGCATTGCTGGGCTGAAGACCTTTCCCACCTGCTTGTATTAGATACCCCAGACCCAAACAGCTTAGCTCCCAGCCTCTTGAGATGCTCGTTCTAGGGGCCCCTCTACCATACGGGGAAAAAAGATTGCTAAAACAAATATAAAACTTAAAAGGATATTGTGAGTCTTCCATCTAGGAACTGCCTCATACCTTTGAAAATATGAGAGGGTCTGTGAGTCTGCTTCAATTCCGTCACCTGATTCTGTTTCAAGATGAACCTGTACATATTTGGAAAAGCAGGATCTATATACTATAATTACCACCTGCCAATCAGTCCTACAGGAGGGTCAAAATTGACATGTCTTTTAAAACTAGGATATAGATATATATAAATGTATGTGTGTGTGTGCGCGTGCTTACACATGTGCATAAATAGACTACATATGTGTATAACTGTATACTATATATATAAAAGCATGTGTGTATATAGAGATAAATATATAAAATCTATACACACACACACGCACACACACACCCCTCCCACCACACACATTCACACAGATATAGTTGTATGTAGGTAGTAGAAAAAACATTTCTAGAGTTCTCCTGACCCTTTAAGGAAGACCAAAGCTGATTACATCTGAATTCTGAGCCACCAAAGCACGTTGAAGCAGGAGTGCCCAGGAATGCGTGCAGCAACATTCTAGATACAGGCAGGTGTCAAGAGTTTTGCAGACAATTCAGTATAAAAAAACAACTGTCAGCCAGTGTTTTGGGAGAGAGTTGGAGGTGGGAGGAGGTAAGAGAGGGAGTTATATGGACCTGTATTGTTACTGTGATAATAGCAACTCTTTTGGCAATGCTGCATGAAGTCCTGCTTCCCCTCTGAGGGCATGAGGGACCCCATGATAGCTGGAAACAGAGGGAGGCTGGACATGTGTTTCTAACAAATGTTAGAAAAGTTGAGCACCTGACTCTTTACAGTGAGGTGTTTTTTCTTGCCCTAAGAAAAAACAAAAGAGAAGGAAAAGGTCAAAGTAAAAGAAAAGCAAATGTTTGATCTAGAGGTAAAGGCTGCAGCTTCTCAGTGCTGTGTGCACCCAGTGGCCCCTTACTGTCTTCATCCCACTTTGATTGCCTTAAATCGGGGGAGCCCAAAAAATCCAGCTCAAGGTGCCTGCCAGGCCCCAGATGTGTCCAGTGATGCTGCAACTGCAGGGTGAGACCAAAGCCAATCAGGTGCAGGCTCTTATTGCTGGTGAAATCAAACGAACAATTTCAATTCCCCCATCGGAGGAGAAGCATGGACCATGGCTGGCCAAATTTCTGGTCTAATCTGGTTTAATGGTATAGACATAGTTGCAAATCTGGAGGATTCTTGGCTGGGCACCAGTATTACCCTCGGTGCCTCAAAGCTCAAACTCCCCTGGGCTAAGGAGGAAGAGGGCTGGGGTGACTGCACCTCACTTTTCAATCTTTGTCTACCCAATTCTCTTCAAAGCAGTCAGCCCATGGACACTGAGACATTAAAATGAGAGAGGGAAGGTTAAAGTGCTGCCTCTTTCTTCATCCCTCCCCTTGCTTTGCATGACCCAACCTGGAAGGCAGCATGCACTCTTCCCAAACCATGGAGAGGTTGAAGTGTGGACTCTTCTGTTGCCTGAGGCCAGCTGCCTTGCATGCTGGCAGAGAGACGGGACTGCTCCCACAACCCACATCCATGACGCCTACAATAATACAGAGGGGATATTCACTGCCCTCATTGTGACTTACAAGGGATTGCTTCTTGCTCCCACTGGAGCATCAGTGGAACAAGAAAGAGACAAGCATCTGAAGTCAGGCCCATCCATCTCCTGGTCACCTTCATCTTCTTCAGATGGAGTCCAAACAAAAACAGCCCTTCTGAAATCCCTAGAGGGGACCTCATTAATGAAACTCACCCCTCTTCTCATGTCCTCTGCAACCTGCTGATCAAGGAGAAAACCTGGGAGGAAGTGAAACTCTGATGCGCACAGTGAGCCACCCCAGTCCCCCCATAAGTAGGTGCTGTGGGACAGGTTCACAGCTGGTGCAAAGTGATGCAAAGCTCAGGACAACCAGAGCTGTTCTAAAAACACCAGCTACAGGCCTGACCAGATGTTCTCTTTTACGGCCCACGTCAACCTCAGATCTTTGTCTCAACAGGAAAACCTTTTTTGGTGGCTTCTATGGCTGATCATTCATATGTTCCAGCTCAGGCACACGCCTTGTCTGTGCGTTACCTCGTTGGATTAAATTTGATCATATCCTTTTGTTCCATGTATTAAAATATTCTATAAAATCAAGTGACCAAAAATCTATAGCTCTAAGAATAACTGCTTATCTTCTTTTTTTTGTTGTTTTTCATGTATTTTTTGTTTCTAATCACAGTTAAACCTAAACAAAAGAAATAGAGGAAGGGTGGGGGGAAGAAAAGGAAAAAAATGATTCATGAAAGTCTAATCAGGAACTGAATTGCACGGCTGACATAACCAGCTCTCAGAAGGAGTCCTCACAAATTGGAGGGCAGTTTGGATCTGACAGGTTCCAGATCTCCTGTGAGCACTATGGATTCTTTCCGCCCACCAGCAGTCAGAGCAGCAGCGCCTGCAGCGCTGGCCCCAAACACCAGTGGGTGTGGTAAAGAACCTGAGGACATCTGACGTGGTAAAGTCACACGCCCAGGAATTGAGCTACAAGGCTTCCCAAGAAGTCCAGTCCCTCCACCAGGAAAAGGAGAGAAGCTGGAAACAGATTCTCTAGAGGAATGAGGAGAACTTTGGCTCAGTGTCTGAGCCAGCTCTTGGGGCAAAGATGGCTGGGAAGCAGAAATCATCTTGATGTCCTGGTTCAGACGTCCCGGTGGCACAGGCGGCGTGCTCTTGGACTGCAAGATCTGCGGAGGTGGGCTGGCTGTCTGAGGCAGGAGCAGAGATCCATGAGAGCCTGAGGCCGCAGAAGGGCCACACTGAAAAGTTCTCGTTGCCACTGGGCTCTGACTAGGAGGACTAAGGCCAGAAGGGGTATAACAGGGAGACGCGACACCAGATTGTTGCAGTGGAGACATGGAGGCAAAAGGTGGCCGTTCTTGGTGGAGCTGGGCTATCGTTCCTGTTAAAGATCCTAATGCACTTGGCTGTGTTTGGCACAGGCCTGAGGACGGCCCACCAGAGGCCTGTGCCAGCTGGCTTAGGCTGGAGGATGGCGAGTTGGAAGAAGGAGGGGGTTGGAAGTGATTCATTCCACCCAAAGTCCCACTGCCTGCGAGCTGCTGTAACTGTCCCCCCTGCAGTGGTCTTGTGGTGGGCTGGAACTGGTTGAGAAGACTGGGGGGAGAGTTTGATGAGAGCTGGGTGAGTGACGCTGATGGGGAGCTAGTTGTGGCTTGCTGGAAGTGCCCAAACCCACTGCTGGGAAGGGCTGGCGGCTGCTGCTGCTGTTGCTGCTGCATGGGCTGAGCTGTACCTAAGGGTGATCCAGAAGGTGCCTGTTGGAACTGGCTCAGTCCCACCAAGGATGCGCTGCTCAAACCCGGCTGGGTTGAGCCACCTGGAGGGGATCCCACCTGGAACTGGCCTAAGCCGGTGGCAGCTGAGAATCCTGCGAGCTGCTGGATGTGGAAGGAAGAGGACGAAGGGGTTTCTGCTCCCAGTGTATGCAGCTGGGATGGAGTACTGGAGGGAGAGCCAACAGCAGAAGGCCCAGTCGACGGGATTAGAGACTGAAGCCTTTTCAGCTGTCTTGGAGTCTGGTTGGATTGCTGTCCCAAGGAACCCAAGACGGACACTGGAGGACGGAAGATGGCTGTCGGCAGGCGTGGGTGGTGGGTCAGAGCTATCGCGACAGAAGTGGTGGCTGCTGCAGCTTGCAGGGGTGCCTGGATCAGTGGAGTCCAGATGACAGGGGTGGGTGTGGATGCAGCAGCGGCAGCAGCAGCGGCGGCAGCCTGGACATTGTGGGCACAGTGTGCCATTTCTCTGTCATGCTGCACAATCTGCTGGATGATCTCATTTTCTTGGTAGTTGAAAACACCCGAATTGAGGTCATGCTGGACTTTATGCAGCAGAATGGAATTTTTCTTGCCTGTAGAGAAAGTGAAGAGAGAAAGGGTCATTCTGGCAGGTCAAAGCATGGGAGGCTTCCTCAAAGCTCCCTGCCAGACTTTCCTCGAATTGTTGGCACTGTCTCCCCTTCACTGTCATTATGGGATCTGTGTACAGTCTCTGTGTGCCAGCAACAAGACGACAAACATCACATCTGCTTTTGTGGTATGATCAACAAACCTCAAGATCCCATAAAAATGTGCCCAACAGGACAGGTATTCTTAGTTAGACAGTAAAGCCACTTCTGACAAGTGTGGCAGACTGGCAGCAAAGCTTATTAACCTGGAGGATTCCCATTTTGCACCTCATAATCCGAACTTCCATTAGAAAAAGACAGTAAGTCCAAAGGCTGTAATTTTTTTGTGTTTGCAAAGGAAAAACCTCAAAAATACAACTCCAGTGAAGTTTCCTGAGTCTTCAACTACTCTTCTTCAGCTACGCCTTTTCCTCATCAATTTCATGCAACCTGTTCACTCATGCAACCTGTTCACTCTGGAGTCAAAGATGTGTTTTCAGTTGAAAGGAAGTTTCTCTTGGCAGGGGGTTTGGAACCAGATGATCTTTAAGGTCCCTTCCAACCCAAACCATTCTGTGATTCTATGAAATGGACAGAAGGACTTTACAAGCTGGAAAAGCTCAGCTGGCCCAAGTAAGAGACCTCAGACATGCTGCAGCTACTATCTTATTTGGCCATGCCCTTCTAGCCCCAACTTTAAGGAAACTGCAAGCTAGTAAACGTCATGTTCCAGCTGGACTTTCTAGCCTGCAGCAAAATATTAGCTCAGCATTTCACCTTTTCAATGGGCTGGAAAATGTGGCGTAATAAGTTTGTCTGGCCTGAGCGTGCACCTGGCACTGAAGGGATGCACTCTCCGGGACTGAAGGACAGAACCATTCAGCGCAGGGGGATGAGATGCTGGCAGCGATGCCCTTCTACCCAAGCACAAATGCCTTCTCAAAGGAGAAGATTTCTGGTGTGGACAGGCACTCTGCATAATGGCTTGCATATCTCTGGTCTCAGAACAGCGTGAAAATTGGTAACTGTGCCAGCACTGATTTATAAAGAGCTGGTACATGCTGATTTGAATGATTTTCTTACAAAATTAGTGTAGATTATATCCCTGTTCTTGCCTTTTCAAGGGTCCTCTATCCTGACAACATATGCCAGTTTGAACTGATGACAGCACCTGCCTGTGGGCTTCCTTTCCACTTGTGTTTACTGAAGCTGTTTGGATTTGAAGGGTTCAGCCTAGTAAGTTCTGTGTGTGACCGTGTCCGTGTGCGTGCATGTGCATACCTGGCTTCCCTGGCTGTGTGTCGGTACACAGCTCATTTTGTAGCTGAAGCTCAGAAGGTGAGTGTAGAAGGGTCACCTCTAGAGGAGGCACCAGCCAGTTTGGATCAGATCAAAAGCTGTATTAACCCTCCTCCTAAACCAAATGCATCCTCAGGCCCCACACCCATTAGCAAACCTCTGCTCTGATTCAAATGTCATTTCTGCTGGTTCCTGTCTGATCACTTTTAGTTCCTGCACAGGACCAGAGCAAACAGAGAGCATCTTGCCAGTTGATGCGGATTTACAGACCATGAGACAGCGGCAGGTGTGGAATGGAGGTCTGGATGAGGAAGGGCCTCTTCTGTATTTTAACCCCCAAATCATGCCATGCTTTAAGAATTAAAGGCTGGCAGCACAGCTCGTGTCAGTTGTTTCCGGCAAAAAAGGGCTTGTCCATTAAACTTGTCTCCATGCTTTCATGAAATCACAACTTTCAAGAGAAGTCAGCTGTTGATATTACTGACTAAGACCCCAATCTGATATTTAATTTGTCCCATACAGCATTCTAGTTTAAACTGGTCAGCTGACAGTTTCCAAGAAGGAATGGTTAAGAGTGGACTGCCATGTTGGCTAGTAGTTCCCAGTGAGATTCCAGAGGAATTTCCTCTCAATCTTATGCCAGTCAGATCTCAGATCTTTGTGTACAGATGTGAGTACATCTATGTGCATAGATGACATCCAGATTGTTGGGGTTTTTACACTATATGGTGTATCTTTTATATCTGTAACAGATAAAAGAGTCAGAGTTTAAGGACATGCCTCTTACTCTAGCCAAATGTAAAATCAAACACCTGGCAGCAAAGAACTTGAATGACCCTCTGAAGAGGGTAGCTGGTATCCTGGTGTCCTGTAAAGTAACTCTGAAATGGTAGAGTCTTGAATCTATCACCAGAAAAAAGTGAAACAATTATTGCGCAAAGAAGAAGGAAATTACAAAGTATAAGAGAGATACTAGTCACTAACACATAAAATGCTAAGAAGGCATACAGTATGATGTTTTAATTCTAGTGTGTAGCTGCAAAGCGTGAAAAGGTACAGAAAATATCCACAAGAATCAGGCCTGAAAAACATCAGTGAATAAGTACAACGTATTCAGCTTCTCCCAGAGAAGAGGCGACTTGATACCTATTTATAGGGAACTTCGCAAGTGAAGGAAGCTGCTAAGAACCATTTCCTTTGGTTCCAGAAGGACCCATGAGATACTGTGATTTTAGACAAGCCCAGAAAAAAAAGAAGGAGCAATCTAACTGTAATTGTAGTTAAGCACTGGGAGACCACACTAAGGGCTTTTCCTTTAGCATACTTTTTAAAATCAAGTGTTTATCTCTTTATACAGGATGAGGTGTGGCTCTAATAACTGAGTGCTATGCAATAGTGCTATGTGATTGTTCAGAGCTGGTAAAGCTTGCAATCTACAGTGGGCTGAACTGCATAAAACCAAACCATGAAACTGCTGACAGAATTTTCATTCTGGATCTGCAACTGGTGCGTTTGGAATGTGTCTGTTGCGGGTAATGCTATGGGATGCTTAATGCTTTTGTGTTCTGCCTACTGCTAATCACTCCCTCTAAAAAAAACAGTAAGGAATATGAACGGGTCTTTCTTTTCTCACCTCGGAGAAAGACACGAGCCCTGGAAGGGCACAGTCCTGAAGGCAGTGTTGTAAGCTGCTAATGTCATTACAGGGGCTGGAGAACTTGTCTGCACTGGAAGGGCATGTGTAGGATATGTATATAATATCTGTTTCATTGTATATCGGACTGGAATAGACAGCACCAGACAGCGCCTAAAGAGATCCTGGTTCTGCAAACTTCAGTGCATTTTTGCAGTGAATATAGAGTGAAAGGGAGTGAATGGTACAGAGGGTCATGCCGCAAACACACAGACACAGTAATTTCCACGTGGTATCAACTAGAATCACATACGCGCTCACAAACAAATTAGATCACAAAGCTGCTTAAACAGAAACAGAAATACTAATGGCTTCAAGTCTGGAGATAAGGAACAACCTGTCTAAATAAAATGGACAATTAAAAGAGGATCTGGTGAGCACACTTGAGTTAAAGAGAGATCCAGCCTGCAGGTTTGTAATCATTCTCTTTCTGGAGCTGAAGGTACAAATCCCAGCATGGGGAATCTGCAGCTATCTCGCACAACTGCAAGGTCAGGATGTGGATGGGAGACAGCATGCTGAGTTCAAAGCAGGCAGGCAAAAAAGCCGTCTTACCACATTTGTTTTCTTGATAACAGACTGTAGCAAAACCAGGCTGAGGAGGAATGGCTATGGGTAGAAGAAGGACAAACAGCGGATGTTGCTAGTGCAGCTTTCTGAGAAGCTCGATACCAGCAACTGCTCTGCGTTTCCGTCATGACACCTCATCTCACTCTTTTAATTCCATGTCACCTGTCTTTGGCTTCTGATTTGCTTGTCTGTGCTTGAATAGCCTGCAATTTCCAATGCTGCCCTCAATTCAAATGAGAACCCATAGTGATGTTAATCAGAGCTGCACAGATGAATTGAGGGGATAGATGTTTTCATAACCAGAGCTCTTGACAATACAGAAAGAGCTGAACAGCAGACTCCAGTTTCCTTGGCAGACCACTAAATGGAGAATATGCTAACATTTTCCAAACACGCATACTATTTACTGGAAATGATTTGATTAAAGCTCCTTAAATTTGTGTCAAATTGATAAAATAATCCCAGCAAAAACCTTGGAATGATTTTTTTTGTTAGTTTGAAAACAGAACATTTCAGTTTTCCTTTGAAATTACATTACATGTTACTGTTTTCCTGAGCCCAGCTTGAATCTATTAACTGTTTCATTAGATCAAATTTTTCTTTTCTGTTTTGCCAAGAAAGGCTCAAGTTTCTGCTCCAGAACATTTTTTTTAAAGTACTGAAAACATTCATTCAGTTATTGAAGGGGAGAGTAATTTTTTAAAAATCATTTTTCAAAATTGTAATTGGTTAGCAAACTGAAAAATTAATCGGTTCCACCATTCTAATTAATTGCATCATTTACATGATGTTTCCACACACCAATATAAGTCTTATTAGTTCCTTCTGGATAAAATCCTCCTTCCAACCAGCACCAGATGAGAACAGGCACACAGCAGAGTCCTGGTGGGACAAAGACGTTTTCCTGGCAGTTCTGACTAAGATCCTGCATGAAACATAAGCCAACGGTGGAACAAGGCAGTAGGAGCAAGTTTGCTCGGGCCCGTGGTTCTGAGATTATTTCTCCTCCTCATCTTGTTTATGAAACTGCTTCAGTTATAAATTCATTTTTCCTGCTGTGGATTTATTGTCACAGCACTTGCCACAAAAGGAGAGCAGAAAAGACAGGAGGCAGAGGACTGAAAGGCTGATCAGTTTGGCTGTTTGTAACCCTAACTGAAATGAGGTTCTGCAGCTCACAGCTACACTCAGTGAACTGCAGCAGAGCCTGCATTCTTGCTAGGCCAGTGAGAAGCTTCATTAGGAGAAAGGAAAAGGGACTCTTTTTTCCCCTTCAATCTAATCACAGAAGCATGGAGGCTCTATGTTACAGAGTTTCTCCTTCTGTGTTGTTTATCCCACATAAATTGAAGTGCTGAGCGGAGTCTCAGGTACTAAGATAAACAATCCACCCAAGCGTTTC